TATAACCCATTATAGTAGTTTCCTATAATAAACACGTTGAAGGTGTAGGACTCCATGAGCCCTGTCGCACTACCTTTGGCAAAGTCGTGCCGTTGCAATCCACGCGCGTGTCGCGGGTCAAGAATGGAGGTGCGATGCTTGGATGTTGCACCATGTTGTACCTCGAAGGGGCGTTTGGGCCTCCCGTTCGTACTTCCACTTGCAGGGAAGGACGAAAAAGCAGTCAATGTGTCATACACCTTTGACAGCTTCATAACAAGGAATTGCGAGTGAAAGAAAACAGGAAATTAACTGTAGGAGAGAGCTTAAACTACCATTCTAAGGTGCTAACCATGGGCCCATAATATGGGCCCTCAATTGGGTTTATAGGATATATATATAAACACGCAAAGTGGGGGCCCTTAGAACCATAGCCCTCGGCAAGGAAAGGCAAGACAGTTGGAAAAGGCAAGCATGAATAGCTCAGGTCTGGACTTGGCAGTTTCCCTAGATTAGGGTACCTCAATATAGACCCCAATATACTACACTAGGGATCCCCAGAATGGTGCCCCTAATTTTGAGAAACCCCCATGTTGTTTAGGGGGAGTACCCCCAGCAGGCAGGTATGCAGCTGCAATCCAAGGTACCGTGCTAGAGCTTGATATGCACTCCATAATATTTGAGCAACTAGAGTAGCGCAAATATTTTCCTGTTCCCTGACACGGAAGATTTCCTTCAACCAATCTGGCCGGGCACTTCCTGACGCAAAAACGAGCGTAGTTGTTCGATGTTGTTCAGAAAGTTTGACAGGGTTCCATTGCGCAGTCGAAATCTAATACTAGACAGTACTGTATGGAAACTCGGTGAAGGCGTGAATCATTCAGAACCCCATGGCCGTTTCGGGGTTTGTGTGCCAGATGCACAGAAGCCGACCCACAGCTAGCATTGCTGACGGTCTTAGATTTTCCCATTACGACCCATATTCTCATTGTATATTACCTTCACAATTGCTGCCCTTTGACAATGTCCGGAAAACACAAGTCTTAAGGCAAACACCTGCACTCACAAATGCTACTGTTACAACCATTCTTATTATTTCCAGTCAATGACTACTGTCATTGCTGCTTTTAATAGTGATATTCATACAATCAGTCTGACTGCAAGTGATAGGTGCATGCGACCAAGCTTGGCATCTCTGCTGACCGCGTCCTCGAAGACGGCGACGGCAGCCTGGAACCACTACAACTTGACTTATTGTTATGCTGCTTGCTCGTGTCACAATCACTTCTGAGCCCTCGACAGAAGCAGCTTAGGATGATATGATATCCAACAAGACAGCACTCCTTCATCACAACACCTGTGTATGAGTGTCCGCCGAGATGCGCCTAAAATGGGGGGAGGGGGGGGGAACGCATGCAGGGAAGGAAACCAACATCGAGCATTACTGCTATGGGATCATTTCCGTATCCATCACACTACTACATGGACCCTCTGGAACCCACCTGTTCAAGGTTTGGTCCTCTAGCTTTGTGGTACACGTCCCTAAACACAAAGAGTCTGTAGTGCCTGTAAGGAGATTTACGAATGTGTTTCGAAGCTATGAATTCATGCTGCCTGGCTCTTCAGGTCCCCCAACGTTTCCAGCAGCCGCACGCGCTTATTGGCGGCAAGTGCTGCCATCGGCAGCTTTGCACTGAGACCTGAACAGCTTGCTTGGGGGGGGGTCAGGGACTTAATTTTTTGTACTTATAGACCCGTGAGAGGATTGCTGGGGGGGGTCAGGGGGACTTAGTTTTTTGTTGTACTTACAAACCCCTGGGAAACCATAGAGGAGCACCGGCCAGGCCCACTTTTAGGGTCTGTTGTATATGGGTTATGGGGATTCTGTGTATACTTACCGCACCCCCTTGCAATCCATGTAGGCTGTACTTCGGTAGTCAGACGCCAATCATGAGAATTCGACTTCAAAATAATCACTCACGAGATACCCCGAACGACTTTCGTACCTCGACCCAAGCGGGAGGCTGTGAACATCATCGTCCCCTTTAGAAACTATTGTCCAGGATACCTCGGATACAATGAAATTCCAATCGCGTTGTCTACTCAGATGCGGCTTACAGTCCGAACCTTTCAACCGCAGGCCCTATAAAATGTAACCCATTATGGTCGTTTCCATTGTCTTTTCCATTATCCCAATATCAACCCCTATATAATATGGTAGTTTCCATTTTCTTTTCCATTATCCCAATATAAACCCCTATATAATATGTCTCGAAAGTCGCGCAAATGCAAGGCCAAGCCACTCAGGCCGCCATCCGCTTCTGTCACCTTCACACGCGACAGGTCGGGCTTCTTGGCAGTTTGGGAACAAGAAAAGCTATAGCACTTGTTATCCTTCAATGGCAACTACTGTAGTAGTTTCCATGTTCTTTCCCATTATCCCTATATAACCCCAATATATAACCTATTATACTATAATAGTTTCCATATCCTTTTCCATTATCCCTATTTAACCCAATATATATGCTCTTATACTAGAGTAGCTGTCATTTTCTTTTCCATCATCCTGATACAACCCCAATAATTGCAGTGAAGCTCTTTCTTGGGATGGCGCTTTCAGATTCAGAAAAAGTTTACCTTGCAGGTGTCATTCTTGGCATAGGCGTAGGCCACACCCTTTGAGACGGAAACCTCGTAATGGTTCGCCAGTATTGAACTGCTGGGTCATGGTCAAAGGCTGACGACAAGTACTTACTGCTACAGGCTTGGGATAGGCTCACCAGTCTACTCTGGTGCAAATGCAAGTCTCCAGCAGAAATCTCCAGCATCGAACCTAAATGACAAGTTTCAAGTCCGAAGCTCTAGACTCATGTCTCTTCAGCCGCTATCAGTTAAATAATCCCGAAAGCCTCTACTCTAAAGGCCCCCCGATGTTGAGAAACCCAACTCCTCAACCCATAGGTCACCTCCCAGTGGACGGATGAGGCTTCGCCGTGATAAGGCATCCCATTTGCATGCTCGGGCTCGGAGGGTGGTCCCCAACGGTCCAAGCCTCGGTTCGGAATCTTGAGCATTTTGGGTTTTCGGATTTTAGGGCCATTCTTAAACAAACCTGTACATAGCGTCTTATGAATCCTTTTGTGCAACAGGCTTGCACGGACACGCCTGGGTTGACGTCCTGTCCAAGGACCCCTCTACTGGACACAGTGCCTACTCTCTATGAATCCTAAAACCTGAAGTTCATGGTGCCTGAAGAGGGACCTGGAGGACACTGGCTGTGCCACGGTATTCAATCTCTCCTCGCTTGTTTTAACCGAAAACCTGGTCTAGAAAGCGCAATCACACCTGAACTCCGTCCCCAATCATCAACTGCATTCCGAAAACAGCAGCCCTGGACCCTTCTAAAGCTGAGCGGCACAAGAAGTGCCCCAAGGGCCGGGGAAGGCTATTCCAAGCATCCTTCTTATCGTGCACTGCCGAGTCCTCAACCGCTGGCTGGGGATGCGGGGTGTTGAGGGCTTTAGAATATATTTAGTAGATTATGGTACATTATGATATATGAGTATTATAGTACATTATAGTTTATTACGGTATATTATAATTTATTCTGGCATCTTACAGTATATTATAGTATAGTATGGAATATTGTAATATATTATAATATGTTATAGTATATTACAATATATCATACAATATTACAGTATATTATGGTATGTTATAATAATATAACATCTTATTGACTACATTTTAGAAGGAAGTCGAAGGATTAGGGTTTGTCAGAGAGGTTGTGGATCGGGGCCGGGGTGGCATGTGAGGCTATCCAGATCACGTGGGGTTTAGATGCTCGCCAGCTAAGCCCTACCAAAGCACGATTAAGAATATAGTCCCCCTTAAGTAGATAGAATATGTGTTATATGGGGATCTCATTATAATATACCCAACGCCATATTCTATCTACTTAAGGGGGGCTATAGCTGGATGATGATCAAGCTATCACTTGATCACCCGCAACTGCTATCACGGAAGTTCGCCCTTGTTCTTATCCAGCAAGGGCCGTTCCATGCTAGATGGAAGCCCTTACGGTGCAATGTTGCTACCCTCCCTCTCCTATGCCTACTCCCACTTCCACTACTACTACTCCTGGTCCTAGTCTTACATTGGATGGGGGAAATCTTGCGCCACATAAACTCTCCAAAATACTGCAAGTCTCAAAGTGCTGAGATTCCCAGACAGTAGTCCTATTCCTATCCTACTCCTAACCCTGCTCCTACTCCTAGTCTACCCCTACCCTTACTCCTGCTCCTGCTCTGCTGCCACCACCACGACTACTCCTACCACGAGAAAAAGGACGAAAACGGTGACCACGATGACGGCGACAACGACGAGGACAACGGCTCGTATTTCCTTGACGCGCTGATGATGTTGATGATGATGATGATGAAAATAATCATGCTGTTGATCATGCTGTTGATCACCGTTATTAAAGGCTTCACGCCCAAGGCACCCAGCAAAGGGGGTTGACCCCGGAGCCTAGGCGGAAGCTGGCAATGGATCCCCCGGCAGGATCCAAGGAGAGGCTTGCGCACCTGGGTGGGGAAGAGGGCCTTTTGTTGTTGGACAAGTTTCCGTCTGCAGACGAAATCCTCCTACGAGCAGAATCAAGTATGGGGCCTTGGGGCCTTGGGATTCAACACAAGAAGGGCGCGCCATTTGCTTGTGAGATCCTGGTCCAGCCAAGCACAACTGCCCAGAGCTCAAGCGCGACGACTTTATGAGCTTAGAAGCAGAACTATCCCTGCGTAAGCCAGCTACGGCAACACCTGTAGGATCCACTTCTCAGACAGTTGTCTGAGTCATCGACCAGAAAAGGAATTCCACTTGCACGTGCAGCGACGATCGACAATCCAATGAATCGCCTGCAACTCCTTCTTTTGTTTTTTCGGGTTGGGGTATGGATCAGGCCTGTCGAGGACATCTTACAGGCCAGGCTCGTACTCGAGCTGCCACAAAGAAGGCGCAAAGTTGTAATTTCCGGGTAAACCTTCCCTCCAGCCTGCAAAAATACCCTCAAAACACAACGCCAGAACTCAGCGGAGGCTCTCATTCCGAAGGGTCACCAGCTTGCGTCCAGGTGGCCTCAAAAGCAGGTCCAAACAGCAAGGAATAATGCGGGGGACCTGAAATCATGTGAGTAAGGTGATGACATAGACTTCCTCACCATTCAGATCGGAACGCTGTTTTCGTAAGCCTGGAACATCAGAGGCTCAGAGGCTCACTGTCCTCAGGAACAGAAACACCCTAAACCCTAAACCTTTTTTTGCATCTGGTCTCTTTACCCCTAAGACCTAAAACTTCTTGAGGAGACCCAAAAGGGGCCGGAGGGAAGGCTTGGGATCGCCTGGTCCTAGGCATATGTCTAAACTCCTTAATACCCTATAGTACCATTTTTCACAAAGTATAAGGCATTTAGGGGTATTCAGGATTTCTATTATCCACCGTAGGGATAAGTCCCCAGATATCAACTTGGAGGCGGACGCTTGGAATATCAAAGCTTCGCAGGCTTAGGATTTAGGGAAGTTCCGCTTTGCAGCCGCTCAGGGGCTCCCCAGGCATCCCAACCCCTAAACCCTAAACCCTGAACCCTAAACCATACAGAAAAACATATTCCTCAGTAGCATCGAAACCCCTAGTTTGATGTCAGATTCGCTCTGTAACTAAAGGGTTTAGGGTTTGGGGTTTAGGGTTTAGGCGGGAACTTAAGCTAAGCTAGCATCAAAACGAAAGCCCAGTACCTTTTTGTTGATTTGTTTACCATATGTCCATTTGTACAAACTTGAACGCCTTGGATTCACGTCAACCCTTGCATAATCAGAGTTTCTGGGTCACGGTCTATCTTCTTGTCTACTTGATCCTACTTTTGTAGATTGGGCTTTTTGGATCAAAGGACCTTTATTCCTACAACCCTAGACCCTAAACCCTATATTAGAATCCATTATACATCCCCCTTGAAGGAGTTTAGACCCTAAACCCTAAACCCCTAAACCCTATATTATAATCCCCTATACAACCCCCTTGAAGGAGTTTAGACCCTAAACCCCTAAACCCTAAAACCTGTCTCAGGAGTGGACTCATCGCTCTTCGTTTCGGCTCGCGGTCGCTTGCTTGGGCTCGACATGGCTTGGGCCTTTCAAGGGGCTTAGGGTTTAGGGTTTAGGGCTTTGAAGGCCTCTCACTGGCTGAAATATGCAGTCCACCTTAAGTAGATGGAGTATGGGGTTTAGGGTTTAGGATATAGTCCCCCTTAAGTAGATAGACTATGGGATATATGGGGACCTTATGATAATATACCCAAAGACAAATTCTATGTACTTAAGGGACTATATGTTTCTAAAAGTTAGTGTACCGTGAACGGGGTGGATGTACAGCATTCGGCGTCCCCCAGTTCATGGAAACTACCATAGCACCTGTAAGCAGAAAGACAACTTGGGACTATCTTCTGTATGAATGCCGATTTGTGGACAGGTCGGGCGATGTCTTCATAATGTGTCCAGCTTTCAGTTCATAGGTTGGGGGTGATATTGCTGCTGGGTGCCCTGGAACACCGAGTGTGGCAGCTCCGCGGTCTCTACGTAGATCCTACCAGTTTCTGGGGCGATCATGCAGCTTCTTAGCAGGGTCTTCTGCCTGGGGCTTCGTCACGCGAGCCACCAAAACAGCTTCCGCCCCGTTTCATGCATCCATGTGAATCAACTTCCTAGCCCTTCATGAGGGTGCCGGGGGATCACATGACATGGTCGCTGATTCGTACTAAACGACTTGCCACAAGTTCGTGTCAGCAATCTGAATTCTCAGGTAGCAGGTCCCGTGCTTCTCCAGGGTCTCTATGGAGATCATGTTGAAATTGTAGCTGGTCCCTGTAGGTAGCATGTAGCGGTTGCAATGAGAACTTCGCACATGAACATTTCTCAAAACTATGGGCCACCTTTGGGTGGGCCTTGAAAGAAGGACGATAGAATCGTATTTGCAGGGATGAGACGGTGGCCATCAACTTGAGAAGCACCCATACCACCCGTCCGTCCTGTAACAGTATGAAAGGCCCGGGGGCAGTATTTATGATGGTACGGGCCCACTCATTACAGCACGTCCTGCTGATGTTGGTAATGCCGCTGTGCGTGGACAAAACTTCTGCTCTTTGAAGCAGGGGCTTTGTTCTGAGGCTGGCGCATCTGCACACAAAGCCTGAAGCAAGCCGAAACATGAGACGTCCTTATTCATAGCCGCTATGCCTTCGGAGGTGCTATGACTGGAAGAGTTCTGTCAGCGGATATTGCGTCGAGGACTTCCTTCTCTGATGCTGACAAATATTCCATGTATGACTGCCAGCACTGATCATTGCACGACAGATGCGCTAGAGAGCCAAAGAACAGTGACTAGCCCTGTCTGGGTTGTCTCAAGACCTCCGCATAAACTTGGGCTCGCTACTTGCACTCTGGTCTGCTCATAATATACTGTAGAACCCCTTCATATTGGCCTGGCGGTCGTGCCATTTTGATCTTGAAGCCCTGCCAACAAGTTCCTAGAGCAAAGGCGTCTTTTTCGCACACATGCAGCGCTCTAAGGTTGGGTTCATTGTCTCGTAATCAAGAGCAATCTCAGCCGGGTGAGGGGGAGAGCATGTACACAATCAACCTTGAGCTCTTGCCCCACGGCCTACGACAGTTGGTGGTCTTTGCCCCGGAAAAATTGCTCCGAAAGTAGCAAATCCATAGGCATGCCTCCAAAGCATGCTTCTAACCTGCGAGTTAGCAGGAAAGCAGGAGCAAATCTACGGTGCAATCACGCAGCCCCGCAGAGATTCAAATTTACTGGGACAAAAGTAGCTCGCATCTGGCTTAGGGTGGCGGCTGTAGCGCCATTCAAAGCATATGGATGTCCTCCAGGCGGCCACCCACTTTGAAAGCCTAGTCTGACCGTAGCCTGGGGCCTCTCAAAGTACCATGCATAAAGCCCTGGGTACCCGTATTCACGCTTGTGATCCTGAGGCTGGCTGGGTTCCTGAACCGTTCTTGGTTTAGGTAAGCCCACACATACATAATCATATTCACACATATATGCACACACGTAGTGGCAGCAGCCAAAAAGGCATAGGATATCACCTGGCTGTAACTTGGCCTTTTCGCTACCCAGTTACTGACTGAACTTTAGGATGAAGAAAAACTTGGCATCTGCAAGCCTTGGGGCAGGCAGCATTATGCAACATGTAACCAGGCTCCCCTATATGGAACATTGTGGCACCAGGCATCCACGCATGGTATGTATCAAAGGCAAGATTCCTCTTTAGCACGCCTGAAGAAGATTCACAGCTGTTCCTTATCCGGTGCACCCGGTTTAGAAACTTCACCACTGAGGAGTGCTTGTCAAGTATACATGCATACATTCATAAACGCGACTCATTTGCTACTGTGCCACATGCACGCAAATCC